GTGGAAGTTACCTTGTGGCACCTCTCACCGGGTGCGCTGTCTGCGGGGGGGGAAAACTAGTATTTTTATGTGTGTGGGGGGGTGTTTTTAATTTTCATTTAAAAAGCTTGTGGTTTTGGTCCCTTAGTTTCTGCGTTGGTTAAAATACCGTCTAGAGAACTGGATGTTTTGGGAAAGTTTGGGGGATACCAGGGGACATGTTTTAGAGTCATGATTCATGAACTCCAAAACCTGTTCTTAGTCTAAATGAGGAAAGGAGTGGTTTTGGTTAACTTTAACTATGTGTTTACGTACCTTTCTTAAAGTGGGCTAGAGCTCGCTATATAGCTTGCATTACTTGGTGCAGGTAAGCCACAGCTAACTTATCTTAAACAAACTTGCTTTTCTTTGAAGACTTTCCAAGGTCTTCATAATGGCAATTTTTTAAGTGAGCAAATATATCTGTATGTTACCGCTCATACCAAAAGGTTTTTTTGTTGTCAAAGCTGTGCACAATTCCACCAACCATCTTCTATTGATGTATCCACATCCATTTTTTTTCTACTGTTTCTTCTTAATGCAGATTAGGCATAGTTTTGTTGGAAAAACTTTAAATTTTTGAGAGGCAGTACATTATCTTTTGATTTATACTTCTGATGTTTTGTTGGCTTGTCATTCAGCTGTTATCAATTGTAGGGGTGTTGGATCTGTGGTATTAGTTGGTGTGTCATTAGTTAAATGAACGCATGTAACTTGAGTTAAAAACACTTTCTCTTTGTCTAGGCAAACTGTAAGTGCACCTATACAGAAATGTGTTTTCCTCCATTGGTACAAAACATATCTGTTGTTCAGATTTTATAAGTGGTCTACAGTTTGCTGTTGGAGCGTTAGAGCTGCAGTATGTGCGTAGCAGACAGGACTGAAGTTGTTGTGTGGGCTTTTGTTGTTAAGGATAATGTGACTGTGCTGAAGTTTCTCCTGGAAAACAGCTAGGTTGCATAGGTAATAGTGATTTTTAGGAGAAAAAAAAAAAAGTGGACTTAACCTTTAAGTGGACAAAATCAAAACGCACAGGAATACCTGGTAGCCCTGATTCCAAATGGTAGCGAAGCACAGCTGTGGCTCTGATTGGCGAAATCTCTTTCATTTATGCACTTTTAAGGTTGAGAACAGCCAGAACAATGTGTTTATGAGCAAAGTACTTACTGCCTCAGCGCAGAACTCTAGGCCTGTTGGTTCCTCTGTCATGTATTTTGCTTGATTAAGAATGGGATGAAAGTTTCTAGGAATCAGCTGAGATGCATTCTTTGTTATTTGTGTAGAAAAATGTAGAGGTTCTAATGAATAGGGACTGTCTCTTAAGTGCATATCATAAAGTGAGTTCCAAGGCATTCCTAGAATTACTTGTCACTAATGGATTATTTAAAGTGCATTGATTTAATATACCGTAGACGTCATCTCCCTTTTATGAGAGTAAGAAGAATTCTGAGAGAGGAAGAAGAAAGGAGTGTGTGGGAGGTGAAGTGGAGCGTTACTGTGGAGTGGTCTAGGCTTTGAAGGCTTATCAGCGATGCACAGGTCTTGATTATTGATTTGGAGTATCTCAATAATGCCCCAACTGACAAACTATGCCAACATACCCCAATTGTATTTGCAGTTGTATGAGCAAAATCTTTTTGTTAGTCAATTTTATTCGATTTAGGTAACTGATCTGAACTTGCCTTGGGGAATCTCCATAATATATTTATTCCAGTTAACCCTTTCTCTAATCTTAGACAAGTAAGTTTTATACCCCAACCTAGAGTTTTTGGTGATGGTATGAAAGTCCCAACATAAACTTTTGTTATGGTTTTTGTCTTCTCTCTCTATGTTCTGTTTTAGAATTATGTTCTTTGCAGAATGAAATCTAATATGCTGATAAAAGAGGCCGTGTATGGTTGCTGTAGTTCATGTCCTATTACTATAGCAGCCTGCTGGAGGCTGCTGTCATAGTATGGTGGCAATATGATATGTTATGAGATGAGGCATCTTTGTCCTCTGTAAGAAAATGTATTTTGTTTAAGAAAGACCATAATATATTGAGTAAGCATCTCTAGTAACTTCTTAGTATGTTTACATGGCTTTTGCTGCGTTTTCTCAGATGAGTTACTAGTGAGACATCCTGTGTGTGTAAAGAGCTCAAGTGACAAGTAGCCCTCTCAATTTAGTCTCCCAGTCTCTCCTCTCATTATAACTCCTTCTGAGTTGTTAATGCTAGTGCAGGCTGTTTAATGGCATGGAGTGTAACAATTTATATTAAATGAAAACGTTTCAGTGAGATAAAATAAACTGATGACGGAATTGCATGGTTTTACTTTGTCTCTTTTGTCTGCTTTGTCATAGTATTGAGCATGTTACAAATAGGAATTATGGCCAGATTATTAGTCTCTTGGTATTTGCACCAACTGTTTATAGAATTCTTATTTATCATGTGTTTTATAAAATGCGCGTTTGTGAAAATTGATTCTTTGCCTGCTGCAGCAGCATAGCAGTTGCTCCAAATAGTGTTCTTCTGTTTGTTTGTTTGTTTTTTTTTTAGCACATTACTTAATTGTACTTAAACGGTGTAGTCTTTCAAATCAAAACAATTGAAGTAGATGCAATGAATGGAAAAATCCTGTGGTATTCAAGCTTCAAATGGCTGAAGAAAGACTTAAGAGACAGGATAAGTTCTTACATTGATGTCATAGTTAAGTGTGCTGCTTTTGACCTGAAGGGAGTTCCTCCTGCAGATTTTTTACTTTTGTTACAAGCAGGATAGGAATGAATCCTCCCTCCTGCCTTATTGTTAGTTAATGTTACTGTAATTAGAGTATCTATACAAGAGGGATGTTTACAAAGAATTCCCTTATTTAAAAGCTTTGGAGAAAGGTGGAGTGTTGAAGTGCAGAAGGTGTATTTGGGTTGTCTTGTTGTGCTGTATTTGAGTTAGCTCGGTGCTAATGTGCTCACAGTAGGGTCTCCTTATTTTCCTTCCTTTGTATGTCAGAATTCTAAGCCTTTTATTCTCCAAAAGGCTGTAATCAAACAGGAGGAGCTTGGTTTGGAGGCCTGGTAATGTGCTCCTTCACATCTGCCAGTGTAACATACACCCAAGTGTCTGATACTGATGCTCAGACTTTCAGTCAGTGAGTACTGTTGCTGATTGCCTCCTTTATTTTTCTCTTTGGGTAAGAGCAGAAGTGACTTAAGGCTTGGGAGGATGCAAATGCCTCTCTCAAGCTCACTAAAGTTTTACTGCACTTGGTTAGTACTAAAAGCCAGCAGTCATTCTTTGTATTCTTCAGGTCAAAATGGCTTTTTATTTCTGGTCTGAACAACTAGGGATTTGCAAACTACTAAAGAGTCAGGCATATATTACGTGACACTGTAAAGTGCTCTTGAATTTCTTTGAAAAAGTTCCAGGTAGTCACATATTCTGCAAAGTTAAGCATACTCTTGTCATTGAGCAGCCAGCACCAGCGCTGGGTATGAATTCTGTCCCATGCCCAGAGCATGGCTGCTGTATCACAAGCGTGTGAGAATCTACAAAAATTTATACTAGTGTGTGTTACCTTAACATTAAATTCCCATATGAGCGAATGTTTTGACTTGAACTGAACAGTAAAAACAGAACTTGCACGTGTTCTTACAATAGCTAATAACTTTGAAAAATAAACAATTTAAACTGACCTTTTACGCCTTTTCCAAATTATGGGTTGTAGTTTTTAGTGTACTTTCAATTCTGTAACATTTTTGGTGTTACATTCAAATCATCCTATTGTTTGAATGCGTATTAGATTTTCATGTTAATAAAGTAAGATATATTTTTTTTTTGTTGTAGTTTGGAGCAGAATTTCGACGATTTTCTCTGGAAAGATCCAAACCTGGAAAATTTGAGGAGTTCTATGGATTATTGCAGCATGTGCACAAGATACCAAATGTTGATGTTCTAGTGGGATATACGGACGTTCATGGAGACCTGTTGCCCATCAATAATGATGACAATTATCATAAAGCAGTTTCCACAGCCAATCCTCTACTCAGGATTTTCATTCAAAGAAAAGGTAAGTGCACTTGCATTATGTGAACTTTTTGTTTACACAGCTATGCCTTGTTGCAGTAAACAGTGTTACTGTTGGAGGAAGAAAAAACTTCAGTCCTATTTCACCATGTTAAATTCCTCAGTAATTATGGAGAATGAAATGTATTCAGAACTCTTCTGTCTTGTGACAGCTTCCTCAAGCAACCTATTTATACTGTGTGCTTCTTACTTATGTTTTTAGTTCAACTGGATGAAATCAAAACATAAATCTCTAGTAATGCCTCTTTCTGGTTTTATGTTAGTAAATGAAAATGATCTTCAAACTTTAATTTTAGGTTTTTTCTGTATGTTGGGTTGATGTTTCCTTTGAAATCCAAATCTTCTTTGGACAACAAGAGAGGACATTGTTAGATGGGGAAAGAATCTTGAAAGTCTTATTATGTAAATTATTAAATATCAGTGTAAGTTAAAGACTAACTTTGTAATATGCTACTCAACACACTATCCTACTAAAACATTCTGAAGCTTTCAAAGAGACAAGCTTATTTCCATTAGCAAATTTCAAATGTCAGTGCGGCTCAGTGTATCAATTTGCCATTAAAAGTAGCGTATCTTCTGGGCACAAGTTCTGTTTGTCTCTTTCCAGTGCCCGCTTTTATTCATGAAGGAAAAATCGATTTTGAATTTTATTTGATCTTATCTAGGAAAGAGCATTCAGTATATGGAATTGAGGGGAAATCTAGTGAAATTATTTGAAATTATGCTTTAATCCAGAGAAGCCAGGAAAATCATGTTTTTTGCCTTTGGTTTTCTGCTTGCTTGTGCAAATGTTTACATGTGCGTGTATATATGCACAACACAATCCCTATCGCAGTAAGACGGTTAACTGATTTTTGACTAACAGATTGCTTGTTGCTTAGTGCACATCTTCTAGAAATAGCTAGTTTGTGTTGTTACTAGTGAACAGACTTGTCTTCTTTAGAAAATACTTAAGCCTCAAAAGCTATTATTGACTTTCCCACTCCAAAAATGAACAAGCTCCACAATGATCTTGCACAAAGACGACGTTCAAAAATAGTTAGAATGGCTGCTTGTCAGCTGCTGTGGTGTTGGCAAAAAATATATGCTTGCTTTGTGTTGAGCAAGGCTTATATGGTTTCAGTCCTGAATTGCCAAGCAGATGAACTACTTGCTTTAATAGAACCTACAGGTGGAAAAAGCCTATGATTCCGTTTAATCTCGTTCAGTAGCCATATGATGAGAACAGATAAACCACTTTGTCAGACTGGGATTATTAAGGTTACATTTTAACACCATATGCTTTTACTTTGTTACTGATTTTACATATATTACCCCTTATACCTATATTCTCATCTTTTTAAGGATAATAGATTATTTCCTGTTACTCTGTTGGCACAAGAAATCGAGAATAGAATTGATATAATGCACGAAACTAAGATTAACCCAGTGATATTTAGCATGCTATGAACTGATTAGCAGGAAAAGCTATGTAGAAAGTAGTTGTCTCATCGTCTTCCCTTGGGCAGTATGCATTCCTCTGGCTATAGAGCTTTAGGGAATAAAGAATCCAGGACCACATCTCAAAATCTGACATCCAGCACTGTCCTTCATGCTGAACTGGTGGTGACCGCTTTCATAAATTTTGAGGTTCGTTTTAACCTTCATTATAAATCTGAGATTCTATCAATTAAATTGAGGCTTTGGCTCCATTAGCATCCTTGCCACACAAAACAGGGTTTGGTTTATGGAAAATATGGAAATAATTTGATTATTTTACTTGTAATAATTTGACTCTAATAACTAAGGCTGAGTTGCACACATTTGAGAGGTCAAAATTTGTGCAGCAGTCTTGCTGTATAGATACAATTTTTCTAACAGCACAATTTTTTATTGTCTGTACCTGTGCACAATTGAAAATAAAATATTTGAACAGATACCTATTATTGATAGGGCTACGTTCATCCGTGCTGTTTTGGAACTCTAATGCTAAGCTACCCCAAGTGACTGTTTCTCCTGTAAGGCTTTTTGTGGCTTTTACAGAAAATTCTTCAAGTGATTTAACAGAGTATTCTTTTTTTTTGTTTTTTTTTTGTTTTTTTTGTTTTTAATGGGACTTGGCCTTTTGCATTTCCAGCAAGAATAGTTGGGGATTTAAGATCTTTGGCAAAAAGCCACCAAGGAAGGTAGAAAGTAGGTACTATCTTAAAATATATGAAATTTTATTTTATTATACTGTTTTATCTATTAAGAAGCTACATGACATTTGTGAAAAGCCAACATAAGATAGGAGCAGGATCAAATTCAGGTTAAATAGTGTCATAACCTTAGTATTTTTAATTCAAGGAATATTTCAAAGAGTTGTAATGGGAGCAATAGGAGTGATTTTTACGGTATTACTAACATGTGATATTTATGGTAAGGTAAGACAGTCCAAGAGATCTTGGGCATGCCAGAGGAAATACTTTCCTCTTGTGTTGACTTTCGTCTGCTAATTTATGAAAACTAGAAAATTGTCTTATCCTATAGTGTTCATGCATATTGGTAAGTGTGGCAAGAAACCCAGAGATAATTTAATGCTGTGAAATTGCATTCTTAACTTTCCTAACTTTATTATTTTTAACTAAATTCCTGTAAAATATTTCTGACTATTCCAGTGCAAGATATAAATTACCCTAGAGACAGATAATTCACAAGTTAAGGACGGCTATCATCTTGCAGAAAATAGTTGCTTATTGGAATTTCATTCTGCAGTTTGTTTAACAGATTAACAGGTACTGTTGACATCTGGAATTTAAAGGTTAAACTGATGTATCTGTGATTAAATCCAGATGTATGGGAGTCTCTCTGTCTGTGAGAAAAATCTTACTGAAGGATAAAACGTGAAAAAAAGCATAAAGTCCCCATGGGCTCCAAAGGGCAGTTGGATGTGGGGGATTTTACTCTGTAAATTCCAGAACAATGTGGGCAATAACTAAACAGATGATGTAGTTCATTTTTAGCATCCATAAAACTCTCAGGATATTAAATTGGCAGAAGCTGTATGCTATATATATGATCATACATGCATTAAAAAAAAGTGGAAAGATGCTCTGGAATTAATTCATTCCTGCCTATTAATGTAGACTACTTCACTGTTAAAAGTCTAGTGGAGTGTTAACTTTATTTCGGTGAAAGATAAGAGGAGCTGACTTTTTAAACAGCTCGCTCTGTGGAATAGCCTAAGAGTTTTGAGCCCTTTTCCTAAAAACCTAGGTTAGGTTCCTAAAACCTTATTTTATTATAATTTGTGGCTACACAGAGACATGATTTGTTGGAAGATTTTAAAAAATGCTAGGTTTCATCTATGTTTCAATGTAGTAATATGATTCTGGGGTTTTGAAAATGTAATTCATGAAGGGTAACTTCATTGCTTTGCAAGTAGATCAGGAAAACATTTTAAATATTTTGTACTGAACAATGTTAAATTGAAACTAGGTTTGGCTATTTGTGGGCTTTTGTTTTAAATTGCATGTAATAAGCACGTATAGATTGATGTCGTGGTGAGTTTGAAAGTGCTGAAGAAAAAAGTTACACTGTGGATGTTCTCCTTCACATATCTGTAGTTAACACCTTGTCCTTTGGCTTCATGCCAAAATATTTTTCACTGTGGCTTTAAACTGATTAGCTAGGTGCCAGAACAAAGATGCCTTTGTACTCAAGAATATTGCTTTAGAAAATTTGTTTAGCAGTGGAGGAGAGGTTAAACAGTCATGCTGTTTGGCTGAGATATGGAGAGATGAGTTTTGTTAACTCTTCAAAATTTTTTTCCCCTCAAATTATGTTACTTTAACTGTCTATCTTAGTTTTTGCTAGTATTGATTTATTAAGCTAAGGCTAATTGCAACACAAAACCTCTGATAGTTGATAGTGTTTCTTAAATGTTTTGACCTACAGGGTTTGCAATTTTGGAACACTATCCTACTGCAACAGTGTGTTACTTAACTTGCGAAGAAGTAAGATTCTAAAAGCAAAAGCACCAGCTCAGTGTTGAGGTTTGTGGCTGTATATTTGTCTTATGAAGGAAGTTTTGGAAGTTCACTTCTAATAAACATTTTCCATGTCTTAGTTTTTGTATAAAATACGCTTTTGAGTCTCTGCTGTTAGCTCAGATATGGATGACTTTACATAATATTTCTTTCAAAGCTGGTCCTTTTGCAACTAGTCTTTATGTTGCTCTACTAACTGAGAAATTTGATTTAGAGGGAGAAGTTTTTGGCCTTATCAGTTGATAGTTGTAGAAAGCCAGGTGGGGTTGTTGGTTTGTGTGTTTTTGTGTTTTGTTTGGTTTGGTTTTTTTTGGTACTCCAGACTTTTCCTGGGCAGGGAAGGAAGCTGTGAAAAGCCACTTGAATTGTTCTAGACCCCATGGTTGAGTAAAGAGCACAGAAACTTACGTGTGAGCGTTTGCGGCACCCAGCAAATCTGCATTTGGGACATGCTAAACATGCTGTGTACGTGCTACATATCTAGTGTATGCTAAAACTACTGTATATGCACAGAAGGCATGACTGTACTATGGCAGGAGAAGAATCATAGTATGCAGTTCACTGCAAAGCTTGAAGCTTTACAGCCCACAGTGGGAAGCTGGGAACTTTTCAGATATAATATACATCTGATACAAAAGATTGAGTGAAATACCATGTTCTTCGACTGAATCTTTGACAAAAGTATGAACTGGTCCACTTCAAATTTAAAAAAAAAAACAAACAAAAAACCCTTCCCTCCTCCCTACGTTCCCCAAAGACTCCTGAAAACCTTTTAATGTTGAAATACTTAATTTGGAAGAATAGTTGTAAGAAAATAGTTATTGACATTGTTTTAATACAATTTTAATATGATTTCCTGTGCACTGTTTATGCTAATTAACTGAACACTTGTGGTAAAACAGCATTAGAAACTTAAATGCTACACTGGTAACAATAACTGCTAGTACATATAACCTAGAGTTGTTTTGTCAGGAATTCACACTTCTGCACAAATAAATACAAAAATGTTGTACATGTGCAGTTTTCCTATTTTTTAGATGAGTTTACTCTGCAAAAAATAGAATGCATAACATGGTTTAAGGTCAAAACAATATGGAATTAATCAGTCTAAGTGCATCCAACTTATTCATTGACTCTCTGAAGCATTTCTTAACAAATAGAGTTCTTCTAGAGCAAGGGTGACGTTAAATTAGTACAAATCTGTACCACTGCCACAAACCAAAAGGAAGATACGTTTTTGGAATGAGACAGTGACTTGTCCATGCAAAGTCTCTGTGGTCCTTGGAATATTTTTCATCAGTTCTGTTGATTTTTACCATTGGTTGTGCAATATAAAAATGAGAATTCTGGAGTATTGGAAATCTACACTACTTAACTAGGCATGCACTACACACAAATTCTTCACTTAGTTTTAGAGATCACTAAGATTCATACAAAATGCTGGTGGGGGAAGGGGGAAGTTCATGACCTAAAAAATAACCTTTGCACTCATTAATGTTCTTAATGAGTTCTAATATTCAAGGCACCATTGTCTATTTAATCATTATCTATACTATCACTATGCTATTGTTGTCGCGCATTACTTTATATTTAACAGTAAAAGGTGTTTAGAGCAAGACCCTTCTGTCTAAATCTCCTATTACATAAGTGTTCTTTCCAAGTGGTCATGTAAACAGTTGTAGTTCCAAATTTAAAAAAAGCAAAGCTATTGCAACTCTTCAGATTGCAGAAATCTTCCCAATATAGCGACCAGGTGTCTAATTTGAAACTGGTTTGATGGGCCCTCAATATATGAGGGTAAGACTTACATTTCTTTGATCAGAAATTTTAAGCAAACATTAAAAGAACTGCTCCATGTTGTCTGAAAAGTCAGCACATTAGTTTTCAGCCACAAAGTACAAGATATGTAATGGCCAATCTTCAATCAGTTAGATGTCCCAAAATGTGTTCTACGCAAAAAAACCTGTAAGTTTGCATTTCTGCTGGTGTTTTACACTTCAGGTATAGTATATGTCTTATGTGCTTTGGTTTGGGAGATTGGATTTTTTTTTTTAATCAAGCCATTTTTTTAATGCAACTAACTTAGCACTTTAGGCATTTGAAGAACACACAAGCTATTTCTAAAGTCTTCTTGATGTTTAGATCTAATCTTATTTTAATTTAGCCTTAAATTCTCCTACTTCAAAATTTCTTTAGGTGAAGAACAGCTGTAATTCAGAAACAGAAGCTTTCATACTCCTAGATGAACTAAAGGTTATTTCCTAGTCACAATCACCTAATTTAATGTGCTCAGGCATAGCTACTGTAGATTCTTCTGTTTGCTTCTACCTTCCTACTCTTCCTCATACTGTTCGCTCCTTGATTTAACTTTATTCTTATACTTGCTGTTCCTAAGAAAGCAGGGAAGCAGATTTCATAGATGTCTGAGTGGAAGAGGAGGAGTCCCTAGGGTACTATCAACATAACGCTTTTGCGCATGAAGTCAGAGCACTATGGCATGTCTGTTCTAAGCAGTAGTATGTAGGGGACGACCTGTGTTAGTGTTGCCTTTGTTCACTTAGCAATTCATGCAAAAGTGTCACTCTGGATGAAAAGATGTCCATATTTAAGAAATAGTAGAGGTAGAAAGTGTTATGCAGGGTGGGTATCATATTCTAGAGAGGCAGCCATGGCCTCTCCAGTAGGAGTTCTGAAGTAATTGAGATGAAGCCATAGAAGTGCCTCCTGAATATAGTATGGCTGTCCTCTGGACTTTTTCCTATTTATGTTAATGAAAAAGTGGCTGTTGAGCGGTTTTATCTGTAAGTTTTTTTTTTAAATAAAAAACTGCAGTTTGGAGTTTACAGCAACTTCCTGTGTTTTTTGGTGGCTTAAGTTAAACTGGATGTTTTTTTCTCTGCTCTCTTTTTTTGGCATACTAAGCCCAAGACTGCCTTAGTAACCAACGATTTTATTTACAAAAGTTTCCTCCTGTTTTTAGCAGCATTAATGTCAGGGGCAGGCAGTATTACAAACTAGAATAATGTTAGACTATTGCTTTGGAACTGCTTTCTTTGTTCTATTCTACTTAAAGCATCTGAAATGGAAGTGTTCAAATATAGTCAGTACATGTCCACGTTATCTTCTTCATAGTGCAGGAAAAACACATTTTCCAATTTGCATGGTATACATTTTTCATCAACAATTAAATTATTTTCTTTAAATTTCACACTATAATAGCATTTCCATAGATATTTCAATTTCTAGATTACAATGGCCAACAATCTTTACTTTTTTCTTGTCTGTACCACTGGCAGCTGAATGCACTGATACAAAAGAAGCCCAGTGTCCCCGAGTCCCAGGGTTGTTAGAAACCAATTCTGCTTGATTCTGATCAATTACATAAAACTCTACATAACGCTGCAGAAATACTAGTGAAAATCTGAGGGCGTTCAGTCAGATCTGAATACCTTTCAGTTCGTCGTCGCTTAAAATAAAACCAACTTCATGGAGGGTTGTGGTATATTAAGTGTAAAGATGGAAGCTTTCTTTGATAAACGGACATTTCAGACATCAGAATTGCTTGTACAATCAGAATTAAGCCTAATACTTTCTTTTCCATTAAAAATATTTGTATGCTCTATATTCATATGTAAGTCTCTCAAAAAAAAAAAAAAAAAACACTCTCAATGTATTTGCACACTTCTGAATCAAATTGTAGCAGTTAGTATTGAATAAATAACTTAGCGTGAAGTATTTCTGTGCAAGGTCTCTTTTTGTTTCTGCTCCACAGCCATTTTACCTACATTGCATGGGGGTGGGGAAGAGAGCGTAGAATGGAATAAGCTTTCTGGAGTTTGAATCCAGGTCACTTGGCTAGCATCCAGGAACTAGGCAATAATAGGCACACTGCCTGCTTTCCCTTTTTTCTTTCTTTCTGTTCCAATGATCTGAAACCTGAGGAGAGAAAACTAACAAGTGAAATTACTCTGAATAAAAAATGTTTCTAAAATATGTACTCCTTCCATTCTAAGCTTTCTTTCAAGCAGCTAGAATATAGTTTTTTCTGTCTCTCTACTGCTGCTAACTTGCTTTAATTTTTTTTTTTTCACATGTACTTTCTTTCCTTTAGTAGTAGGAAACCAAAATCATTACAAACTTGGATGAATCCCATAATGTTAAAGGTAACCTCATATGTAGAGACAAAATTCTACTGTAGCAAGTTGAGAACCTCCTAGGTTAGGTATTTCATTCTGCTGACCTAAAAGACTTTATATATGGTCTCTGTGCATTGCTGTTGCGATCTAATTGTCAATGTACTATGTCTTGCAGAAGATGCAGACTACAGTGCCTTTGGTGCAGATACTACCACAAGGAAGAAAAATGTCTTATCAAATGTGTTGCGTCCAGATAATCACAGGAAGAAACCACACATTGTCATTAGCATGCCTCAAGACTTCAGACCGGTATCTTCTATTATAGATGTAGATATTCTTCCAGAAACCCATCGCAGGGTGCGGCTTTACAAATATGGAACTGACAAACCCCTGGGATTCTACATACGAGATGGCTCTAGTGTCAGAGTAACACCACATGGGCTAGAGAAAGTTCCGGGGATTTTCATATCCAGACTTGTCCCTGGAGGTCTGGCTCAAAGTACAGGCTTACTGGCTGTCAATGATGAAGTACTGGAGGTGAATGGAATAGAAGTTTCAGGAAAGAGCCTTGATCAGGTTACCGACATGATGATTGCCAACAGCCGTAACCTGATCATTACAGTAAGACCAGCAAACCAGAGAAACAATGTTGTCAGGAACAGTCGGACTTCTGGCAGCTCTGGTCAGTCTACTGAATCTAGCCTTCCGAGTAGCACACCAAATATTTTAACAAATTTCTTGCAAGGAGAAGAGGAGAGCGATGAAGAGGACATTATTATTGAAGATAGTGGTGAGCCACAGCAGATTCCAAAAGCTGCCCATACGAGTGAGAGTCTGGAATCGTTGACACAAATTGAACTCCTTCATGAGTCGACACAGAATGGTTTCCTTCCTTCCAGTGAGATAAACTTGAATCATTCAGCAGGCAGCATTAGTATGGAATATGAAGGACATGGTCCAGACCATAAATCATTAGAAGAAGATGGAACTATAATAACACTATGAAATTACATTGGTGTACTTTGTGTTAACTGAGAATGCCATACATGTTTTATTTTGGCTTAATATGTAATACATTTTATACCTCTCCACCTACTGAGCACTGCAATTAGACTAGAAGGAAAAACAATGGATGCAAGAAGTTTGAAATTATATAGGTTGACTAACTTCATTTAATTCTGCACTTCAATGTAAATAGGTCACAAAGATAAAAGATAATTGATAACTGACTGGAACTGGATGAGGAAAACTTTAAATTGAAAATGAAGGAGAGCAAAGAGATAGCTATGAGCTTTCTCTTACAGGTACTTGATTTGTCTATGTGGAATGCTACTGATTCTATAGAAGTAAATTTCCATTATTGTGTGAGGTCGGTTAGTTATGTGCTGTGGTTTCATGTTCAACTGAAGTGCTGCTTTAGCCACCTCATTCCTGTTCTGAGCTGCTGTCTGTGGTGTGCTGGTAGCCCTGTGTGGCTCCGTGTATCAGGAAACAAAAACGAGCAGGAGGTGGGGTAGGAAGAGATGTTCTTGGTCAGCTTAGTTCTCTGACTGATTCACTGAGCAGCATGCGTGTAGGATAGTGGTCAGCAACTTGACCGCAGTCAAGGGTTGGAGATGGGGGCTGATGAAGCTGACTGCCCATTTGGAAGTGAATGCGCAACAACGGGCTCATTAGTCATGCACCTTTCCTGTTTTTCATCTGCCTTGCATGGCCAGATAAAGTTACTTTTAATGACGCTATGATTTGTAAATTCAAATGTGAAAGTCTTAACGCTTCTGTATCTTGAAGACGTGTCCTCGTTTTAGTTTGCGGTATTTGAGGATTTCGTTCGATTTAGTTACTAATCACAGTAAACTTTAAAGAAATCACATGTAAACTTAATACTATAAAAATAACATACCTTTGGCATATTCTATATGAAAATGATAGTCCTAGTAGAAGCTGTAAAGATTTCTACTGGCATAGAGTTTATTGCAGGGAGTCAAAGTTATGTGAAAAATGACCTTCTTCAAACCTGAACAGGTTAGAGCAGCTTGAATTGACTTAAACCCATGGATTTAAAAAAAAAAAAAAAAGTAAGTTTGAAATTAGGTTGTGGCTTTGATAGAACTTGCTTGAGCCTGTGTGGTATTAAGATTACTCATTATAATGACCTAAATTGCACATGCTGATCTTTCTGTGCACCACTGACTGGGTGTTTTGCATATTACAAAGTTACTGTGCACAAAACAAAATACTGTTGACAAAAGTCCTGATACTGAAATGTGTAAATGTGTGTGTAATCAGCTGCAGACTTACTAGGAGAACTTCAGGGAGAGGCTTTTAGCATACTTTTGCCTTCTCTCTTTTAGTCTTGTCTACTGTTCCACCACTGTGGCACCCTGTTCCAACTTGACCCTACTCTGGGAGCACAGGTTGTGGCAGGCAGGGAAATGGAAGATGGGAACTAAAGGGACTGGGGAGAAAGGGGGATGAAATTTCTCAGCAGGGATCTGGCAGCCGAAGTCAACCTCTAGAAGGTGAGGAGGATGTGACCAGTTCTGTACTGTGGTACTGTGCTTAGCAGAGCCAGCAGTCAGGGTTCTTGGAAGCATGTTCTGCCCTGTGGGGTGACACGAGGAAGAGGAAAAGAGACTAACCCCTTTATTTTTTTCCCTTAGTCTGTCTTCGGGAAACATCTACCTCTGGTAACTTTAAACTTAGTTAGTTTCACATAACTAAAGTTAAGCATCTGTAAAAGTCCTTATAGCATATCAGAGGCTAAAACTGTATTTGCTTAAACTTTTCTTAGTGATGTAGACAAGTGATGTTTCAGTTATTACGGCATTTAATTTGGATAAATGCAGATTTTAAGTTCATTACACTTTATGAATAGTGGTATTTTCAAGCTTTCAGTAACATTGGACTTCAAATCCTACAGACTTCAAGAAAGGCTATCTTCTATCAGGCTAATGCCCTTTTTGATTTTTGGAGAATTGTCATAACGCGTAGTGGAGTTCTTTGCAAATACAGATTAGAGTTCTGCTTTGCCTTTGTCTTTTTTTTTTTTTCAAAGGTTTTATCAGAGCATGCACAAGAGAGGCCCTGGAATTTTTTATTCACATGAGCAAGTATTTTAAACCTTTTTAGACTTACTTCAGTTTAAAGATTATTAGTAAAATAAGTACATCCACTTAATATGAAGAGAGGAGAACAGATACGGTTTGTGTGTTCTGCAATGTATACATTTTAAATATACATTTAAATATACATGTTTTCTGTCAGTGCTGCTCTACGCTTCCTTTATTTAAGGAAGATTGTTTACTTTAAAATGTCTTTTTCTTCCTTTATCAAAGGACTCTCCTTCCTGTATGAAATTATCAGTGGAGGGCAGCTTTCATTTATTATGCTAGTTTGCACTTCTGTGCCTTTTGGTTACTTGAATGTATTGTGAATAATCAAAGGAATAAAGGCACTTGGATAAGAGGAGAATGAGGGCCACAGATACAGAAGATGAACTGGTCGTGCACTTAATGAAGGAATAATGTTTTCATTCAATGGAAATATTTTATGGGTCTAATGTGATACATTAGTATGTTGCAGCTTGGATGCAAGTTGAGCTATTGACTTGCCCCAGGAAGGTTGAGTCTGAGAATGCTGATGTTACAAGGTAATTTATTGCTTCAGTACAAACACCCGAGGTTAGTGTGCTGCCAAACCCTTTTGTGTTACCTAATTTGTACTTTTAACAGATGCATGAATATTTTGAATATATATACCAGTATTAAGGACTTACAGAAATTTGATTAGGGTCCTGCTTAAAACTGCATGAGAATCCATCTCTTAGGACCTTTTCTCCAAATTCATTAATCTTTAATACGTGAGATAATTCTTTGACAAATGTTCTGTTTTACAGAAATTTGATAACAAATATAGAACTAAGCATTTGAGATGTGATGAAAAACCATTAGGGAATAAACCTAAATAGGTTTTTTAAAGTGTGTATTTACAGTTATAGTGACAGACTGCACAGCATGTAATTGCTTAATGCTGCAGTTACCATAAGTTTCTGAAGTTCTTCCATATCTTCCTAATTACATACATTGCTAATTACTAAACACTTTTAAATCATTATGTCAGGATAATCAACCATAGATTATGAATGGCTAAACTTAATTTTATACATAAGTGGTACTGGGATCAGTATAAGGTTTTTAAAAATATTATGCTGATATCGTTAGCCTTTCATTCACTACCTCCTAGATTTTTAACATCTCTACAATTTTCTCCTTGGAAGAAATGACTTAAAGGCTTGACTGTTTTATATAGACTTTATTTTTAGCTATAAAATCCAAAAGTGATTGTGAGGTTACTGCGCATGATTGATAATATTAAGCTGCTATCAATGTACTCTTCGTGTATTAAGTATCCTAATATGTGTAAATTGTATTTTCAATCCAGATTTTATAAATTAATTTATAAATATCCAAATTATTTCAAAATGGAATGGAAAACTAAAATTCCTTTGAATAGTGTTATACAGTTGTGTACATGCACAGTAGGGGGGACAAGTCATTCCTGACTTGCAACTGGGAGACTGAAGACAGATTAACCTTTTAAGTGCACCTTAATAGGAATAATAGCAAATCTTAATGGAATTAAGATGCATTTACCTTGAAGTTCTGCTGTGGTACTGGATAAGTCAAGCCTAACTGTGAATCATATGTTTTTTCCACAGTTAAATTTAGGACAATGTTCTCACAAGCTGTCTTTAACGTGTGTATTTTTGTGAATATTATGTATTTTCTAATTAAATTTTACTTGCAACGTGATTTTTACATGAATGAACTTGTTTAAAATGTCAGATATCAGTATTTTTCTTACAACTTTAATGTATGATGTACATTGGTATCTCACTGAATGAAGATTGATTTTACAAAATCAAGCTGGCTGTAGTTGTATATTAGTCTTATATTTTTACAAACTGGAATAATAAATGGCTATAGAAATAAAATGGTTTTTTTCCTCAATTACTTTGTCAGGTAAGTTAAAATGAGGAAGAATACATTCCCTGCTTATTCTAGAGTGTGAAAGTAGATGGGGTTCAATTTTCATTTGGGCACTCAAGTGAGCTCTGTTTTTATAGCTGTCTTAAATGTTTGCTTCCTCTGTTCCCTTCTTTGGACCGGCTCTCTATAGGTGAAAAGTTTGCAGGGACTTAGAATAGTTGTCCTTTGGTCCTGTTGACTGACCTCTGTTGGTCATATGCTCGTTTCTGCAGTAGCTGCAAGTGGTATGTGTCTCATTATATTGCCTGCTTGAAGACCGCTCATAGTAAGGTCTAGGTCATGAAACCTGGGAGATTGTTCTTTTTCCTCTGTCACCTTTATCAAATGCTGCTGGTGATTTGGAAGTCTTCATTGTTACTTTAAGTATTTACTATGTTGTGATGACTGTCTATATTAAAGTTTTAAAATGATCTTGAACCCAATCCACTTAAATGTTTTCTGCCATATCCAATGCTTTGGCAGTGCTTGTAAACATTTACCTAGTGATGAAAGATTTGAGTTTCGTTTAGCTCTGTGTATCTGATGACATGCTTAAAAGATTTTTGAAAAGTGTTTTAGGGACTGCTGCTTGCTGGAGCCAACCATATGACTTTTTTTTCTGTTCCTTCCTCTATATTTGCAGGACTTCTATCTCACCTGTATGGTTCAGCACTTCCCATACTTGCTTATGTAGCTATAGGAGGTGACAAAAAGTTAAACTGAGAATAGCACGACAGTACCTTAACACTGGTTTGCAGCTGGCAGTAACCCAGTCTTTCATCTGCACGCTCAATTCTGAATATCTGGTATTTGGAAGAAACTTTACTTTGCAGAGAACCTGAAAACTCACCCCTTTCATAAAGGAATTCTGAAATTGGTAGGTAAGGTATTCCTGAAATGGTGTCAGCTTTAGAAATTCATTCTGTATTAAAATTCAGGTGTAGTAGTTTTCTAATTTCAGAGCTTGTATCCAAATATGTAGGGCTTAAACTGGGAGGGATTTCTAAGTTACTGACTCTAACATGCGAATTGTTATGGACGCAAGCCACTTGCTACTATTGCAGCTTAAAAAATTAAGTTACAGGTATATTTTGGATAAATGATGTATCTTAAAAAAGAAAAGGAGAGGAACAAAATCTGAAGGATTTCAGACAGGCCTTGCAAGGTTGACTGGACAAAAAAATGACAAAAATCAGTATTAGTTTATGCTGTCTGCATGACATATGTAATGACGGGTGCCAAGCTTGCTTGTCTCTCAGAAGCCCATCTTTGCCTATGATAGTTCAATGGAAACATCAGCTCAGTACTTGCTAGCGTGCATGAAGAGATTGTTTTAGGAAAATATAAAGGACAAAACTGAAAGTATTAGTGCTGCTATATAAAACCACTATTCAGCAATATTTTGAATATAGTGTGCAGTTCTAGTTGCTTCATCTCAAAGGGGATACCAGACTGCAACACATCCAGGAAAAAATAAAGATTATCAGCATTACAGAATACTTTTTGTGTAAGAACACCTGAGCAGCAGAGGATTGGTCCACCTGAAAAAGATGATAGAATGCAAAAGGCAATAAAGCTTTACAATAATTAGTTTTGTATGAGAAAGTTTGTTATCAATAAAAGGACTGAAAATGTGCAGTGGGATATAATTGCTGTTTTTTAGCAACGCTGAGGAGTTTGATTCATAGTGAATTATATCTTCCTGTGTGAAGAATATTTTTAGGGAAATCTAAAATATAATGAAATCTATAGGACATTGTATTTGATGTAAGGTATACTTTTGCAGAATCAGTCTGGTGTTGACCATAACTCTCTGCAAGTGCCTCTCTCCTGCGGTGTTCTTCTGATTGGAACTGAGACAGTGAATGTGGGTTCTGCCTTCTTTCACTGAGGCAGGGGTAGCCCTCTTTGCAGTAGTACAGACTCTATAGCTGGACTGCCAATAGTGGGTTTTTGTGCCTTCTAGCAAGCTTCTGTGTATGAGAGTTTGTCCTTTTAGGCACAGTCCACTAAGAATCAAGGGAGTGGTATTACTGCAGGAGCAAACAGTAAGGAATGTGTCCTTAGGAATGCATATGGGGTTAGGGGTATATCCATGAGGATAAAGGAAGTTTGATAAGGCTTTTTAAATTGGCTGACAGCAAATAGGTTAAGACTAATCCTACAGAAGTTGTATCTAGTTTGTATGGAAGTGGTATAAGCTATTAAAAAAAAAAAAAAAAGTCACAGCTGCTGTCTCCATCAAGTATTTGTTGTATTTTTTGACTGTATGGGTGTAAAAGTTTGCACCTGTGAGTGCCATTAAGTTTCTCATCCTACACAGGAGATGAGCTTTTCCTCTTACCTCTCAAACCAATAGAGAAACACCCCATACTGAACTGTAAGGATCACTTACCCTATCTGTCTTCCAAATACCAACAGTACTTAACTCTTGACCTGACAAGCTCTTAACAAGATGTTAGGACTGTCGCTGTATCTTATGGAATTTGAAGTTCTTCATGTATAGTTGCAGATATGAAGACTTGCTAGGATTTTCAGCTGAAAATTTCCCCTCCCTGGTATAACAACAGGAGAAAGAAGCAATTCAGTGCTAAATGACCCTTGACATTTTTTTCTTATCTTGAAACTAGCTGTGATACTGTAGTATCAGACTTGCTTGCATTGCTTCTGATGAAGGTCTACATATTTCTTGCAATACAGGTATCAATATTCATACGTTGTTATTTAATACTGGCATGTGGTAACGCTGAAGTGGGATAACCAGGTTTAAGGTAGCTTCATAAATGGTTTCCAATACTAGCGTGAAGGAAAAAATCAATTGGACAGTAACAGTATTGTTCTTAAATGCTGTAGAAGTATGCAAGAAATGGTACAGCTGGTTCTTGGAGAGGTGAGATAGTAGCCAAATTTAAGAACTCAGACTCCTCATACAGCTATGATAGATCGCTTATGTACTTTCCCTCTCAAAAAGGAGATAAATTTGTATAAGGACTAAAAGCAGTACACTTGATTTTTAGAAGTACTTTAGAAATATGACGCACAAACTGATTTGAAGTGTTGTGCTATTTTACCAGCCTTATATAATCTTTATTACAGCAATTTAGGAGTGTCATTAATAAGAGATAATTTCCAGTCTTTCCACTTAGCATTCCTTTCTATTTGAACCCTTACTCTATTATCTGAAAGTAAAAAGAAATACTTTGCATTTCATCGATGATAAAGACTTGCATCAGGCCCTACATGATGTTATAAGTAAGAAAGTATGCAAAAGCTTATTTGTTGCAGCCATCTCTGCTTTCCATAGGAAAGCATGGTATTTGTTCTTTATGATGCAATGACTTCTTCAGAGCGCTTTCTTTTGAGCATCTGATAATACCTAGTTACTGATATGGCGCTTTTTTTTTTGGCACAGAAAACTTGACAATGTTCAGAGGTAAGGAACGGAGTTCAAGGGGCAGATGAAAATAGCAGAAAACGTGAAAGAAGCTGGAGAAGGGAGGGGCTTCATTCAGTGCAGGGGTTCATGCTTGCAGCCACACCAGTAAAGTCTTTTTATACAAAAGACAAATCCTGTGTGTCATAATCTGGCATGCCTAAATCAGTTCTGAAAATAAGTGGCCTACTTATTCACAGCTGTGAGACAAAATGGAGCTAAGTAAATAAGAAAGCAGAAAGTAGGAAGCAAATAGATATGCTAATGAAGGATATAATTGTCCTAGCACACTGCAAAGGGAATACTTAATTTTTCAATAGCCAAAAGTTTGTCTAGGATATTAAGCTATATTAGGTGGCTGAATAAAATACACTATCCCTATTTGCAAGCCTTGCCTCTCTCTTTAGATCCTCATGGCTATAACAATATAACTTTCTAGGGTTTTTGTTTCTTTGCTATTATTCCAGGTACTCCCAGTAAAGATTTGCAGCGTTCTCATATCCTCCTACTGGAAGATGCAAAGGACTTTGAATTTTTATACTACTGAGGATAAAGCATTGAATATATAAATATAGATTTCTGTGACTCTCTGAATATTACATGAGGTTACATACATGGTTGGAATTTATAATCCAGAAATTGTAAATTGTAGTATCTTCTTGCTATTATGTCCTTTGTACTCTTTTTATCCTTTGCTGTGAAAGAATGGGGGAGGTAGATCTCTTATTGCAAAATTAAACATAAATGAGCTAAAACTTAATGTTGAAACTACCTGTAAAAGACAATTTGGGGATTTTATTAAGCACTGTTTACTGTCTTTGGAAAAGTCTTCCAGTGGTTACTACACTGAATCTGTATAACGTAGAAAAACTGGTTAAGATCTGAGTCATATCATACACAGTCAGTAACGTGAAAAAAAGAGAGTGATTGAACAAATGGCTGTCTTAGTATTTTGACTCTGCTTTATACAGATAAATTGTTATGAGAGTGAAGATAGACGTGTTATCCTCACTTTACAGGTAGAGAAACTGAGACACAGAGGTCATGAAGCCGTTTGGTCACAGAAATAGAAAAGCAATGTGTGGCTTGTCCTGCGCTGTCTGCTCAAGAGAAATTCCTTCATAAATAATTCATGTATGTCAATGCTAAAGCTCACATGGATGGTATAGCCAACATGAAATCAGGAGGGATCTCATTTAGTGTCTGGCTTCTAAAGCATTTAAAGTAAATGTTGACTTCTGTGATTAAATTTAAATCCAGAACTGCTTGTTAGTGCATTAATGAATACAATAGATGTACAACACTAAATTGTAACCAGGGCTCAATGAGATTTTTTTAAAAATGAAAATATACTACCTGTTAATTTTATTATGAAGATAATATGATACTAAGATAACAGAACTTACCAATGAAGGTTTCCTACTATTCCTGTTTGTTCAGTATTGTCCCATAACTGCAGCAGTGAGATTTTTCTGATTTCTCTTGGGAATATTCCTAGTCTAGTAGATCTTATTGATAAGCCTTTTCTTGATACTCTCCCCGAGTTCTTGTGTTTCTTCTTAACATATGTCTTGACACACTTCCTCCTATCATAGATAACTTTGTGTCACAACAGTGATTCTGTGATGTAGAACAGAATTTAAGCACGTTCCTTTCTGGTCTGTTGTTAAAGCTTTCCACATATGCTTTTCAAAACCTCAGCTCAGTTCAAGTTTAACCTGGTGCATATCTTTCACTGGTAGAACCATTTCTCTCAAAAACAGAACACAAACCTCTTAGAGTCTACAGCATAAATGATACCTAACTGCCTCAGCAGAGATCAGGCCTAGGTTGTTAATGGTTGTGCAAATACATAAAGAGAAATCTTCCTAGAGCTGGAGTTTGCAACTGAAACAAACTCCAAATGTTTGGAGACTTACTCACTGAGATGCAGTGCGTTTCCCTTCTATGTGGTAATGGTCAATGGAAGGTCTGGATTTGAAAATACCCTATGATTTTTCAGGTAAGGTGGATTTTTTTTTTTTGTACTACAGTACTGTTTAAAAGGGTCTGTCTAGTGCTTTTGTGTTCAGGATCACAGACTTAGATCACTGGTCGTCCCTAATCTCAAGAAAGGATTTGGGGGAGAGCCCTACACAGCTTATGTTAGCTCTGCTTGCCTTCTCTCCTCTCTCCCCCTGCCCTCCCCCCTCCCCCCCTTGCTTCTGGTATCTCTTCAAGCCTGGCTTTTTTAATCTTCTCAGCAAACCACTATAAACTGGGCATTTCTTCATGATAAACTAAATGTAAATTTCCTCCATTCTTCTGCAGTAATTTGGTCTTATGCAAAGCCAATAAAAGCTTTAGATGATAGTGCGGGCCTTTTGTGGCCTCGTGTTCTGCAAGCACTCAAAGCTAGTTTTATATATGTGTTTTTAATAACCATGCTTTTGAACAGTGCTCCAGTGCTAACTAGCGCTCTAGTTTCTTCAGGAAAGTGGATAATACTTTATCTAGTTTTGTGCAGATTTCATCTTTACACAATTTCTAATGGATTTTCCTCTCCTGCAGTTGGGACTGTCTGCAGACAAAACTTCTCAAATCAGATAATGTCTCAAACTGATTGATGTGAAATACCCTGTACTGCTTTAGGTCCCTGCCACCACAGAGTCTGCTTGACTCCCCTGCAAACTTCAATTTTTCTGCACAAATAGGCCCCAATTCCTGCCCACAGGAGGAAAAACCATTACGAAACTGAGGACAGATGCCTCTCTCTGCCTCGACTGCTCTCTTGATCATGTCTTTCTTTAAAATGCCCTAAAATTCAGTTTAAGATTGCATTTTAAGGGAGCCTAGTGCAAGAAAGAGCATCTTCTCTAGTGGTGAAGCATCTAGAAGGCTTAAGAAGATCCCTAGCGAGCTACAGGCTGCTGGAGAGCCTCTCGGAGCCCCCTCCTCAGGGGAAGGAAAGGATGTGTTTGTGGCTTAAAAGGGGTGGGAGGCCAGAGCACCTGCGTTCTGCTCTGCCTAGCGCAAACAGACTGGCTCTATAGCTTAGATAAGTCATTTCGATGCTCGCTTTGCACGTAGGGAATGGTAAGGCATAGAGAAGTTCTGAGCGCTGTAAAGATGCGTTTTCAGCTGCAGCCTTCAGCCCCCCTCGGCCATGAGAGGTAGACATCGAGTCCCGTGCCTCTGGTCACTGAGTACCTTGGCCTCTGTCCTCTAGGTACCAGTACAGGCGTGTTAAAGCAAAACATTTTTGGAAGGACGGGACTTTTAACAACGGCAGATGAAACCGTCAGCACGAGAACGAGGTCTGCGCGTGATGCTGCCAGACGTGTGCGTGGCGAAAGCAGGGGAAGTCGCCGCTTCTCCCGGCGAAGGGAAAGGCCTGCGGCGGG